TTTCTACTCCCGTAAAGATTTACACCCTCGGAAACCCTGTACAGGGTCGCTATGGGTCGGAACCGACTCGATGGCACTTAACAACAACAACAACAACAATGACAATCTAAGGGCTATTTCTGAGCAAGAGACCCTCAGTTAAGATGATCCATTCCTGGTGTGGTGCTCATGATCAATGCCATGGACAAATGTCCTGGAATAGGAGATGGAAGTTGTTATGGGCTTAATTGTGTTCTGTCAAAATATGTATTGTAAATCCTAATATCCATACCACTGGTTACAATCCATTTTTTTAAATGGTTTTCTCTGTTATTTTACTGTGGTAGTATTACTGTTTTTTTTTAGGGTGCCTCTTTAGTCAATATTTATTGAGACGTAAAAAAACAGGTTAAGGAAACATGCAGAGATTGTGGAAAGCAAATCTCAACCCACAAAAAGATCACCAGGGGACCACAAAACAGAATTTGAAATGAGACAAGATCATTCCCACAAAGTTGACAGAGACAGACTTTCTCAAGTGCTGTTCACTGAATTCAGACTTCAAGCCTACTCCACAATGAAAAATTAAATTTCTGTTTGTTAATGCCACCCATTTATGGTATTTCAGATACAGCAAGACTGAGTTTATGTAAGAATTTATCAATAAGGAGCTCAAATTGCAATGTCTGACATGGCTACTGACACAATAATATCTCAGTGATCAACAGCAATGACCACTCCTGGACCTCAAATATCATGCCATTAATCAGTGGATCACATTAACAACTAGTTCATGTTGATAAGGGTGGACACAATACTACATGTAAAAGATAATGATTGTTTTCCTGCCTGTGCATTTCCCTTCCTTTCCAGCAATGTGTCTGCCAGAAATTCAACTTGGAGTTTTCCAGGAAGTTTTATTCAGATTCAGGAAATTCCATAAATAAAATATTTGACCAAATAACTTTTATACAGTAAAAAATGAAGTCAATGTATATACTTGTGACGCAATCATGTTCATAGGAGCCGCTGTTTTTAATGAAAAAGAACACTCAATGTTAATTGAATAAAGCAGAGACAAGCCATCATAACACTGAATTGATGCTTTACCAGATGTGAAAAATGTTTTGAAATAATACTTGTATATTGTATTGTTTCTCCCATCGTCAGAGATTTTCTGGAAAAGAAATTATAAACTCGTCACAATTTATTATGCTTTAAAAAATAACAAACTTCTGCCATCTAGTTAATTCTGACTCATAGTAACACCATGTTAAGTTTGCTAAGGTTGATAATTTTACAAGAGCATAAAGTTTCCACTGGTGTTTTCACACTGTGGACCTTGGGATTAGCAGTCCAAAGAGTAGTCAATTATGGCTTGAAAACCAGTGCTGATCCTACGACACACTTGTTGTGTACCAACTCATAGCTGCCCTATGTACAACAGAATGAAACACTGCCCGGTCCTGTGTCAACCTCACAATTGTTGCCACACTTGAGCCCATTGACGCTGCCATATGACGAAGTTTGGCCATCTTGGCCTCCAAGGAGCACTCTGGCTGCACTTCTTCCAACACAGATCTGTTGGTTCTTTTGGCAGCTCATGGCACTTTCAACATTCTCCGCCAACAGCATAACTCAAAAGCATCAATTCTTTTACAGTCTTCCTTATTCACTGTCCAATTTTGCATACATATGAGGTTATTGAAAATATGATGGCTTGGGTCAGGTGCACTTTAGTCAAGCTGACATCTTTGCTCTTCAACGCTTTAAAAAGGTCTTATGCACCAGATTTGCCTAATGCAATATGTCATTTGATTTCTTGAGTGCTGCTTCCATGAGTGTTGATGGTCGAGCCAAGAAGAATGAAATCCTTGACAACTTCAATCTTTTCTCCATTGATAAGAATGTTGTTTATTGGTCCAGTAGTGAGGATTTTTGTTTTTTTTACATTGAGATGCAATCCATACCGAAGGCTGTGGTCTTTGAGTGCCATACTAGGAGTTGCTGTATTTAGACAAACCTCCATAAGACATGAAGAATCACTTAATGTTTGAATAAAGGTGTCCGTACTCACTGACCATCTTTAAATGAAGTCCTAGGGAACTGTCAGCAATAAGAACAGGCTTCTTCAAAACATGAAGAAAGACTGAGTTCTTGTTTCTCACATACCAAGTCTCCTAAACTGTAGACTCATTGCTGAGACTACCCAACATATAAACAAGAGCGGGACATAGGTTCTCACACAGAAACAAAAAATTGCAGTTCTTAACAGGGTCTGGATTTACATGACAAGGAAGACTCAGAATAGGAAGAAAGAGAGAAAGAAAGAGGGAGAACAACCAAGAGGTAAGTATGATACACCATATTGGATTTCAAATTCACTCTCTGAGTATATTACACTGTTCTTTCTTGCCTCATACCCAGTTCTCTCTCTGTAAGCCGCTTTTTTTGTGTGTGTGTCTTGCTTTTCTTTCTCTTGTCAAACCCTTTGATTTGAATACTCTTTTGAAGTTTAATTCAATGTGTCCCAGGAAGAGATAGTTTCTAACACGTTCACGTAACACTTAAAGACAGTTAACCTGGAAATACCAAATATCAGACAATTTTAACAATGCTCTTATTAGGAGACACACTATGGATTGTCATAATGGGCAAGGGAGCTGTTTCATTTTCTAGATTATTTGTATAGAAACAAAACCCAATGGGAATTTACCTTCCAGAATTTTTTTTTTCTTTAAATTCTCTGATTCTTTCTTAGAGTGACAAGACAATTTAAAATGTATTTAAAAGGAGTCCAAACTTTCATTGTCAGCAATCATCACTAATGAGAGAATTTTATTTTGCTTTGCTCACAAGCCAGGCACACTCTCTCCATTGCTCTTTCCACACTGCTGCAACCACCAAGGGATTTGCATACTGTTCACCTGGGACTTCCCTTGCAAGTCTGTGATAAAAGGTCAGCTCGAATCTATCTTTACTTATTAAGACTCATCCATTCAACTTCTCAAAATGAGGTTCCCTGCTCACCTTCCGGGGCTCTTCTGCACTGGATTCCTGGTGAGTACCGAGGAGAGATGAGAAGGAGAAAGGGTGAGAAGGATGAGCTTTGACAACACCACCCATCCAGTGTTAAGTCTATTCCATTCAGTAGACAAATTGTATCCTTCGGATAAAAGGGGCATATACTGTTTTATTTGGAAATATGACAAATAATTGACAAGGATCCAAGATGCGTTCTCTGTTGAAAAGTATGACAACAAAATAGGGGTTACAGAAAAAAAAAACCTAGATATTTTAGAGTATAAAGGATCAAAATTATGAATACACAAAAAAGGCAGCAAAAATGAAAGAATACTTTAGTAGAAAAATAATGACAGAAGGGAATCCCCAAAATGGCTGTTAGGTTTGCACACAACCTTATATTTCTCTTTCATGATTTTAGTGTCAAGTCGAGAAATATTAATGACCCAGACTCCAGTCACCCTGCCCATGACACTTGGAGAACTGGCCACCATCTCCTGCCAGTCAAGTCAAATCAAGGTGCATAGTAATGGAAACACCTATTTGTGCTTATACCAGCAAAAACCAGAACAACCTCCACAACTCTTGATCTACAAAGTTTCCAACCAGTTCACTGGAGTACCAGACAGATTTAGTGACAGTGGATCAGTTGCAGATCTCACTCTTAAAATCAGCAAGATGAAGGCTGAGAATGTTGCAGTTTACTACTGTCTGCAACCTACACAAAAGCTTCCCACAATGGTAGAGTCCCAAAGAAAAACCTGTGGTTGGTTTGGTCCAGCTGCACAAATGTATGGCTTGGCTGAGTCTGCTGAAGGTGTAAGATGTTGGATAAGTCAAGATAATGGATTGTGACTGAAGCAGGATAAGGGGGTGGGTTTATCTGAGCAACTGTCAGGCCCTAGGCTTAATGGAACACCAAATAAAATCTGTGTAAAAAAAATTCATCGGTCAATACACAGCAATAGATGAATGGATTAACTATGGTACCTACGCATAATGAAATACTACGCAATCTTGAAGAATAATAAAATATCTATAAAACAACTCATCATGTGGATGAATTTATAGAATCTTATACTGAGTCATATTATTTCTCTCACAAGAGGTCAAATGTGACTTCCCTATTAAAAAAAGAAAAGGCAAGGCTTGTACACAGAAGGAAACATTCTTTGATGAATCAGAGATAGGAAAAGAGTAGAACCTAAACTACCAACAAAATAATAACTAGATTATGTTGTTGTAGTTATTAAGTGTCAAAGAGTCGGTTCTGACTCATAGACACCATGTATAGGGTTTCCAAGAGACAGCTGGTGGATTTGAATTGCCAATCTTATGGTTAGCAATCCATTGCTTATCCTACATCAATCACTACATGTATAGACTTGGATGAAGGGAAAAGCAACATTCTGCAAAAAATAATGAGTACAATATCACTAAAGTAAAGGTACGCACAGAAAGGTACACAAGAGTTACAGACATACAGAATCATGCAACATCAGTAATAAAAACCACCTATGACTAGATATAGGCAGCAGGCAAGATGAACAGATATAGCTAGGGAAACAAGACTACATATACGACTATGTACAGCTTTCACATATTTTGAGTATTTGCTCAGCATACAGACTGAAAAGCATAGAGTCCTTAATCTCACCTTTCCTGATTTTTAACCATTCAATATCACTGCAAACTATAGTTAGTCTCATTGTTTGTCTGTCTTTAATGATGCTAAAAATTACAAGCATATGATTGTTGTTGTTGTTGTTGTTAAGTGCTGTCAAGTTGGTTCCCAAACCTATAATGTTGTTGTTGTTAGGTGCCATCCATTTGGTACTGACTCATAGCGACTCTATGCACAACAGAATGAAATACTGCCTAATCTCAGGCCAAGCTCAGAATCATTACTATGTTTGAGCCCACTGATGCTGCCTCTGTGCCAATCCATCTTGTTGAGGGTATTACAAGTTTTCTCTAAGCCTCCAGTTTACCAAACTTGACTTCCTTCTCCAGTGATTGACGCCTCCTGACAATATTTCTGAAGTATTTGTGACGAAGTCTGGTCATCCTGGCTTCCAAGGAGCACTCTGGCTGTATCCCTTCCAACACAGATATGGTTGTTCTTCTGTCAGTCCGTGGTATTTTCAATATTCTCCTCCAATACCATAATGCAAATGTATCAATTCTTATATAGTCTCCCTTATTCACTATCCACCTTTCACATGTGTATGAGATTATTGAAAATATCAAGATCAAACTGACATCTTCGCTCTTTGACATTTTAAAGAGTTCTTATGCAGCAGGTTTGCCCAATGCAATATGTCCTTTGATTTTCTGACTGCTGCTTCCATGAATGTTGATAGTTGATACAAGCAAAATGAAGTCACTGACAACTTCAATCTTTTCTCATTTATATGCATGTTAGTTATTGGTCCAGTGATGAGGATTTTTATTTTACGTTGAGGTGCCACACATATCTAAAATTGTGGTCTTTGATCTTTATCAATATGTATTTTAAGTCCTCTTGGCTTTCAACAAGCAAGGGTGTAACATCTGCACATCTTAAGTTGTTAATGAGATTTCCTCCAATCCTGATGCCACAATTTTGTTCAAATAATTCATACATTGATAGAGAACTTCCAGAGGTTCAAGCTGGTTTCAGAAGAGGACGTAAAATGAGGAATATCACTGCTAACGTCAGATGGATCTTGACTGAAAGCAAGAATACCAGAAAGATGTTTACTTGTACTTTTTTGACTACACAAAGGTTTTTGATTGTGTGGATCATGAAAAGCTATGGACAGCATTTGGAAGAATGTGCATTCTGGAACACTTAATTACACTCTTGAGGAATTTGTATATAGACCAAGAGGCATTTGTTCAAACAGAACAAGGGAATTCCAATTGGTTTAAACTTAGGAAAGGTATGTGCCAGGGTTGTACTCTTTCATTTTAAGGTGAAGTCCATTTGACACCCTCATGAATTAGACAATTCACTTACGATTTGTAGACATAATCACAAATAAATGTTCTGGTGTGGTGCTGTGGGTTAATGTACCAGATTGCAAAGCCATTTGAACCACTAGGTCAGCAGTTCAAGCTCACCAGGTGCTCTTTGGAACCCCTATACCAGGTCGCTATGGGTCGGAACTGACTGGACAGCACTTCACAAAACAACAACCAATATAAAAAGGCATCACAGACTGAATGACCAGAACACTGATTACATGGATAAGATCATTTGTCTTCATTGGCACACAAAAGGCCCACACTCAGTCCGGTGAGTGGAAACAGAATAGCAAAAAGAGATAGCTATAAAGTTTAACAAGATTGATTTAGTATATACTAAAAATTCCCCTTACCTAAAATATATCACACCTGTTGTCTTAGTTACTTGGTACTGCTCAAAAACAAAACAGAATATAATTTTCATACATTTTAGAAGCCTGAATGCTGAGTACTGGCTCTTAGGGAAGGTGTTCTTTCTCATTTCACTTTTGGAAAAGGCCCTGATCTCCTCCAAGAGTTTGTTTTGCAATCTTTTGTTGGTCGTTATGTGATGTGGTATCCATCTTCCCCTTCTCTGTTGGCTCACTTTGTCATTAGGCTTATATCTTCACATATATTTACTGATATTGGGCCACATTAACATAACAAAGAAAAATTCCAAAATGAGTATATAACCACAAATGTATGTGTTATAATTTGCAATACATACTTTAGAGGGTAAACAGTTGAATTTGTAACAATTGTATTTGTTTTAATTTATTTATTCATTTATGGCTGTCATGTCTCTAAAGGAGCTCTGGTGTGGTACTGTGGGCTAATGCGTCAGACTGCAAAGTTGTTTGAACTGCAAGATCAGTGGTTCAAGCTCACCAGCTGTTCCTTGGAAACCCTATACAGGGTTGCTATGGGTCAGAATTGACTCGATGGCACTTGACAACAACCTGTCTGTAAAATAATGTTTGAATGATTCTTCTCACCTTTTTCACAAATTGCAAGACAAATTCACACATTCGAAATCCATGCTCAATATGTTAAGATTAGTGTTCAGACTTTTATTTAGATAACCACTTATAATATTTTATTGACATTTATATTGGTATTTAGAGAAAGCATGGCCTACCAACCAAAATTCCCTAGTGCAGAATTAATTCTAAGTCAACCTATGTCTAATGGCCTTTAACACAAAGGTTCAATGCATCAACCACTGAGTTGTAGATCATCTACTCTGATTCTTTTCCTTCATAGGTAGGGAAAGATTCATGGACAGTGACAGACATTTGTTATAAAGAATGAAGAATTCAATGGTCAGACATCTGGGTATATACAAACTGGGCAACTCAGATTCCAGGTTACTTTGGTACTTCCTTTTGTTTCTGAATTATTTCTAGAATTAAAAATACATTTATGCCTTGATATTTGTCAAAGATTTATAGTCACATGATACAGGTATATACTTGAAGAATGGAAATCACAACAGTGATGATCACTTTCATAGATTGAATTGTGTCCTCAAAAGTACATGTCAACATGATTAGGCAATGAGAAGCTGAACTGATTAATCTTATTAGCAAAGGCAGGTTGTTGTTGTTGATAAGTGCCATTGAGTCAATTCCGACCCATAGTGACCCTGTATAGGGTTTCCGAGGAGCAGCTGCTGAGCTTGTTGAACCACAGACCTTGCAGTTCAAACAGCTTTGCAGTCTGGTGTCTTCTTTTAATCTTAGACTTGCAAGCAAAGGTTCTCCTAGTGAACAATATGCAAATCCTTTGTTGAGTACAGCAGTGTGAAAGAGCAAAGGAGTGTGGAACTTGCTTGTGAGCTAAGCAATATAAGATATATCAGCATTATGTAATAATCTTCCATTTTTCAATGCTAGGTAAGTATCCTGTATATCCTACATTTCTCCCAGTCAGAGATTGTCTAGAAGAAAAATGGAAAGCCCATCACAGTATATGAGGCTTATTAAAAACCCACACACAAAAAAACAAACTCACTACCATCAAGTTGATTCTGAATAAGTAACCGGCTGAAGGTCTTCTTAGGGTGATCAAATTTACAAGAGCACAAAATTTCCTCTTCTCCTGTGGTATATAGCTGGTATATTCAAACTTCTGAGCTTGCATTTGACAGTCCAAAGAGTAAACCACTATGCCACAAAACCTTAAGATAAGCAGCTTCCAAAATCAGTGTTTTGTATTCACTGAATCTGTGGTTTTCTTTTGAATGTTTCTTTAGAACAAACACTGACATCATAATTGCTTCATTAAATTGAAATAAATGCTACATGGATGGCCATTTTCATTCTCTGTATGATACAGAATAAATTGCCAACAAAGATATTATGGTCTATGTTGTGGTCATGTTGTTGTTGTTGTGTGCCATTGAGTCGGCACCGACTCATAGTGAGTGACCTTATGCACAGCAGAAAGAAACACTGCCCGATCCTGGGCCAACCTCACTGCTGTTGCCACGCTTGAGTCCATCAATGCTGTCACTTGGCCAATCCATCTTGTTGG